GAGCGGGCGATGCGTAGCGGCATAGATCTATCTAGCAAGGCGCCACAGCGCTCTCTGTTCAACGTGTGGAGTTTTAAGAGAACCGAAACAACGCCGCGGTGGCGCGGTGTTTTGGCCATCGCGTTCGAATTAATTTTAATGAATTAAATTAATATTTACAAATATCTTACATCAAACAACAAATTAAAACAAAAATCCTTTTTATTAATATATTCTACACCACTGATATTAATTTCATTAAGATTTGTTGATGTATTACGTTCATTTTTGGATTTGAATTTCTCTTTTAGAGGTAGTTTCATGATTTTTTCTATCGAGAAAATATATCGAGAATATGTATTGGAAACAATGTTCCATTAGAATGTACAATCAAGATTAACATATTTTTTTTGCTGCTATAAAATGTGTAGATTTTGCTAAAAACTCTTTTGAAAAACCTATTTTTACTGCATACAGCGCCTTAAGGTCCTTAAAAAACTTTTTTTTAAGACCTTAGTTTGTCCTTAGTTAGTACTTTTTGTGGTTGCTGTGAGATTTACTTCGTTTTCCAAAGTTGTAAGCAATTTTTTTTTATTCCTTACTTTTATTACGTGGGTGTAAAAATGTGTACTTGAAAAATTTTTTTAACAATTTCTGAATAACTAAAATTCAATTTATCCTTCGAATCAGACGTTAAATCAAGGACGGTGGATACACTTATGTTGAGATTTTTCTGGATATTAAGTTAAAATCCGTATCCTTATCCGCGGATATTGACGCCTATGATCCGTATCCGGATCTACAATTTTAATGATCCGGCACATCACTAATTTTAAGTGTTTAATTATCACGCGCTCGGTGGTGAAGCAAAAGATCTTGAGGAAACCTCACTATTATAAATATAAAAATAAAATTCGAAGATATGTAAAGTCCGCCAATCCGCAGTGAGGTCACGTGGTGGACTAGGAGGCCTTTGCTCAGCAGGGGAACATGTAATATATATGATACTTTACTTTTCACTTCAAGATTTATTTTTACAAAATAAGTCTGAGGTAGTATAATTAGGTTGTATTTTGCCACAATAATAATAATAATAATTTTTGCTGAGCTGGAGCCATCTATAACCGTCACCGAGCAAAACCTGGCAGACCGAGTTCGGTACATCATGCGCTCAAAAATATTTGATGATACCGAGCTCGAACGACTACGACGTGAGGCTGTTACCTCATCGGATGAAAATGTAGTGGCTGGGGATACGGCCCCGCAAGCTGCGGACCCTGCAGGGTTACAAGCAGATGCGGAGGCCGCGGTTAACCCCCCGGCTCCTGTAGATTCGTGCGATGATGGAATAGTCGCCCAAGAAATAGAGCAGATGGGAAGCATATTGGAGGAGGCAATTCTGGAGGTGCGCGAAACGCCTCTCGAGAGTCGGCCACGTCTCCCCCGCATACCCCTAAGTAAGGGGAGTCGGTCTGTCGTGAGGTCTCTTAACCCGATGCTGGCAACCTATTTGGAAGCTAGCCGGGATCTTTGCGATACGGACTCAATTCTCTTTGGCGCTGCACTGGCAGTATGCCGAATCGTTGGCGCCAAACTTCCCAAGACTGGACGTGCTACTAGACCAGGTAGCACTATCCCAGTATGGAAAAGAAGAATTGAGGACCGTATTGCAAAGGTAAGGGCCATCATCAGCAGGCTGATAAGCTTCAGGTCAGGCAATAATAGGCCCAGAATTGTGCGCACCGTTAGGATGGCGTTCGCTGGGACCAACATCAACTTGTCCCAGCCGGATATTACGCAAAAACTAACGGAGCGCATAGATGACCTGAAGCAGAGGATCGCTGCTTGGGGGAAGCGGATTCGGAGGTATACCGAGAGGACGGCGCGGTTTAGCCAGAATCGCCTCTTCCAGAATAACCAAAAGAGGCTCTACAAATCTTTGGAGCGACCAATGATCTGTGGAACGGGCCAAGGACCAGACCAGGCCGACACTGTCGCCTTCTGGCGCAGCCTGTGGTCAGAGCCCGTAGACCACAGCGAGGGCCCTTGGACGCAAGTCGTGACGAGCCAATGCGCAGATATCACACCCATGGAACCCGTCGTTATAGCACCCGACGACGTATTTGAGGCAGTCCGTAGAGCCCCGAACTGGAAAAGTCCGGGACTCGACGGGCTGCATCACTACTGGCTGAAGGGGTTCGTGGTGTGTCATGCTGTGCTCGCCCGACAGTTCCAAGAGGCTCTCGATCAGAGGTCGCTCCCGAGCCTCTTTACTACTGGGGTCACTCACTTGGTTCCGAAAGATCAGGTTACCACAGACCCGAGTAAGTACCGCCCCATTACGTGTCTACCCACCATCTATAAGACACTGACATCTGTTCTGAGCATGAGAATCACCCGACATATTAATATGAATCGGATTATGTCGCCTGCTCAGAATGGATGTCGGGGCGGCGGTCGTGGAACCAAGGAACCGCTTCTCATCGACGCGGTCATTGGCAAAATGGTTAAACGCAACCGTCGGAACCTCTCCGCCGCCTGGATAGGCTACAAAAAGGCATTTGACTCTGTGCCCCAAAAGCTAAAGGCTAAAGAATGTCCTCGAACTGTACAAAGTAGACTGTACAGTTAGAGACTTCCTCGAGCACTGTATGGGGCAATGGAGTACGATCCTTTGTCATCTAGGCGAGCGGATGACGGCTGCGAAATACCGGATAAGGATACGACGGGGTATTTTCCAGGGCGACTGTTTGAGTCCAATATGGTTTTGCCTCTCCCTGAATCCTCTCAGCGTGTTACTGGAGGGCTCGGGGGGAGGATTTCAGCTTCGGAGAGGAGGGACAAAAGTGACCCACTTTTTCTACATGGATGAACACAAATTATTCGCCTCCAATCGCTCCCATTTGATGGAATTGCTTAAAGTTACTTGTGATTTCAGCAATTCTATCAAAATGGAGCTCGGGACGGATAAGTGTGCGGTCCTTCATGTCGAAAGGGGTAAGGTCACTAATACGGAGGGCATAGACTTATCTATGCCCGTTAACATAAGGACCCTCTGTGAGGCTGAAACATACCGATACCTGGGTATGTCACAAAACATGCGTATCGAATGTGCTGAGCGTTTCCGACCGGGAGGCCGTATGGAAGGAGAAAGAGCTCCACAGGAGGTTCTGCAAGGCCCTACACGAGCCTTTCGTAGATACTACTGCTTCCCTCAACTGGCTACGTTTCGGTGAATTCTTTGGGGAAACCGAAGGGTTTTGTCTGTGCGATACAGGATCAGGGTATTAAGTCGAACAACTATCGGAAATACATCCTAAGGGATGGCACCGTCAACATCTGTCGAGCTTGTCGCCATCCCGGGGAGTCGCTTCGGCATGTTATTTCCGTTTGTTACATGCTTTCTAACTCTGAGTATCTGCATAGACACAACCTAGTAGCCAGAATTCTACACCAGGAGCTCGCTCTGAAATACGGCCTCGTGGATCGGAAACTGCCGTACTATAAGTACTCTCCGGAAGCCGTGCTCAAAAATGACCGCGCCAGGCTCTATTGGGACCGGCCCATCATCACGGACAGAACGATTGTCGCGAACAAACCTGACATCGTGGTGATGGACCGGGCACAGTCGCGGGTATTTTTGGTCGACATTACCATTCCATTTGACGAGAACCTCGTGAAAGCCAAAACAGATAAGAAGACAAAGTATCTGGACCTGGCTCACGAGGTGACCGACATGTGGGGTGGTGTGCCGACCGAAATTATCCCGATAGTCGTGTCTGCGAATGGGTTAATCCCAGTCAGCCTCTCCGGACATCTGAGGCGACTGGGACTCCGGGACGGATCGCTCCAAGCTCAAATGCAGAAGGCGGTGCTCCTCTATACCGCCCGCATCGTCCGCCGGTTTCTCTCCCTATCGCCCTAACCCTCGGCCGTTTGGTCTCCCCTGCCGAGGGCCTCCGTCTGGTTGGGTCCTATTTATATATGTATTATATACAACATTTATAAACAGTTTAGGCGAAAACAGTTTATTTACAAAATTAATACGCTGTTATCGCGTTCTCACCTACCATGTGTACATTGTAAGCTTGTACGTGCAATTCAAGTTGAGCCGTTGGCAATTCACTAAAGCGATTGCTCATCTGTAGAAATAATTTAATAGCGAAATTAGTGCGAATTAAACTAAGATGATTATTGTAATTTTCATAATTTGAACTACGTAACATATAGGATCTTTTTGGGGTTCCGCACCTAGAGGGTAAAACGGGACCCTATTACTAAGGCTTCGCTGTCTGTCTGTCTGTCACCAGACTATCTCGTGAACCGTGATAGTTAGACAGTGGGAATTTTCACAGATGATATTCTATCCTCATATAGGAAATACATCATCCTAACTTACCTAACCTCTAAATAAATTTAAAAATTTTTGGAGTCGTCATTGTTCACCATAGGTAATGGTTGTACACCATAACCTTGCTAATAAAAAGCGATGAATGAAAAATATAACAACGGTAAATACTGCAGCTATATAATAAATATATTAAAAGATAGTTATATGTATTCAGTTATGTATCTAATCTACCTAAATAGTGTAACAAAGTTAAGCCATGCTGGCAGCAGCGACTCGCCAAAGTTGTTACAATTTTGTTCGAGTTTAGGTTGGCTGGGTTATACAGGTTAGATTTTCAAGATTTGACTATATTGGTATTAATATTATTTTAAACTTCTTAATGTTAATGTAGTTTTTTGAAGTCTGCTCTTTTTTTGTTAAATAACTTTTTTTTACAAAATGTTAACGTTCTTAAGATTGACATTTAAATAAAATTTTACGTAAATTCTAATTCAATATAGAAATAAAATAGAAACATACGATTGTATTTGTTATATTTATTTACATATACGAATTTATATACCATACATTCCCGCATTGGGCTATTAGTTCTTCTAAGCGACGCTGATTTCAGCTAGTTTCTAGTTTCGGAACCATTGGCTCCCACAAATTTTCAATTGGGTTTAGATCAGGCGACTTGGATGGCCATGTTAACGCTGCTGCACGACTCGTATCCTCTGTTTCGCTCTCGCTCCCGCAGAAAGCCCTCGGTACCCACCGACCAACTGTAGCTCTCTGTCAAATAACGTTCTTCATTACAACAACTCTTCAAATTGCATTTTCATGCGGTGCTTGTGTAAGTAGCTCGATAAATTATAAAAGAGGTTTGCATGTAACAATGAAGATTAAAATATAATCGAAACAAAAATGCGTGAGTGTCGGGACCACTCGGTGGGAACGAGGATCCTTTCGTGATTATTGATAAAACAAGTTTTTGTTCCCGGTAACTAAAAATATACATCTCCTGTGCTAACTCTTCATTTGTAAAAGAAATAAGACTTGGAATTATACCTAAATCTAAAAGTCTTTATTGGTTGCCATCAACGATGCTTTAATGCAGATGACGCATGTCCATACTGTGCGGTATATATACAAGTGAATGCGACGGATGATATGGAACGTACCAAACGGAATGGCAAAGCAGTCTATAGAATTGCAATCTATTTACACGAATTGCGAGTCATTAGTGTCTACGTTGCGGTGCGCTAGTGTCACATCTACCTCGTATTTATATACAGTATCATTGGTTGCCATGGCATTTCGAACGTAACGTAACGATCGATGGTAACGGAATAATTCCAACTACTTTTGGACCCCCAACCGCCAACCTTTGGTTTAAGATGACATCTACACAGACAATAAAGGACATCTGCTACACAGTCACACATCTGCCTATCGCACTCCACCCTCACGCACGTGTGCCTTCGCCGCGGCCTCGACACGATGGCGTCCGCAGTCACCGCCGCCGACGGACGCTCCAGGGAAGTCTCTCTTCTCCAAATACTTTTACGCTTCGAGCAACTGTCACGCTAGGAAATAATTAACTCAGTAAAATTAGTATTTTATATTTAACGCTATTTGTTTTCTTGCGTCCTCCGTCTGCAGCAATAATCAATGACCAGATTGTACTGTACGGTGTTTAGCGAAATCTACATGAAAAAAGTGTTTTGTATTTCGTATTTTATGAAGCTTTTGGTACATTGATTGCTAAATTTTAATTGTAATCGTAAATATACATTTCCTTCAGTCTTCCTTCAGGCAGAGCATGCCGATGTTGCAGATAGTTAATCACCAACTTTGTCCTTTCTCTTTATGTGAGTATCTGAGTCGAATTTTCACTACTCCCAGGGTTGACTGGAAGAGCCTTATGTTGGGGTAAACAAAAATAAATAAATAAATGGAAACAGGAAAAGACAGCAAATATTTTCAATTTTTTGATACATGTTTTTAAGTTTGCACTACAACTACTCGATACAATAACTGTTGGATTAAGTTATTCTAAAGTTAAGTTGGATTAAACGTCTTACTACTTTTTTTTTTATTTTTTTTATTTTTTTTTTGCCGCCGACGCCCTAGTCATTTCGGGTTACATTCCGTTTTTAAGAGGGCGTGGTCGCTACAACTACTCGATACAATAACCGTTGGATTACGTTCTTCTAAAACTACGTTGGATTAATAACCGCTTTACTACTTTTTATTAATTTTTTTTTTTGCCGACGCAGGTTATACATGAGCCCATTAATAGTCGTCGAGGTCCAAGTCATTCAGCGGCTCTTCCAGTTGCAGAGATGGGAAGTCCACTTTGTATCTCAGTACGCCTGTTTTTTTTAAACCGTTAGCCGTAGCAACGTCGTGGCAATGGTAGCAAATATAGCAAATTACCAATGACCAGCGCGCGTGAACCGTCCAAGCAGCGGTGGGAGGGAAAAGAAAACATTTTAGTATGTGTTATGCTGTACAACGCCGCGGCGGAATTAAATGCTGTTAGTGGTGGGCGTTAATAAACGAAAATTCATTTCGACGTTAACGACCGGTTTATGACGCACTAGTAAACCGGTTTACTCAATTTTACCGAGTTTTATTCTATTTTACCGAGTGAAACAGTCCAAAAATTGACTTGATTAACTTTTTTATAAACTAGTTCAACATAGGCAAATTTCTCGTTTCGGCCGATTGACAAAACGCCAACGACCCACCACTACAGCACCACTAGCCATGTAAGGTATTCATAACATAAAACTCGAGGCTTAGTTTTTCTCTCAAATTTTCAAATTGGGTTAAAAGAAGTTAGAACCCCAATTACAAAATCAATTGGGTTCAAGTTGCACACTGTTCTGTATTTGAAATAAGATGCTTGAATTATGCTTTATGCAATGGATGAAGCTGTTCGCTCAATTTTAATGATCTTTACCTCTAAACTGACTAGCAAATTATTACTTAAAAATTAAATATGGAGAAGACTAAATATAAATAAGCTACTAATATAGCATATCTTGCATTATTCTGATATACGTTTTCTATGATGCTGGGAACAGCCATTTATTTGTAAAGGAATTCCACCACAGAGTGGACACTGACCGCCAATGCCCCCAAATCCCCTCACAAACTGCCTGCCCTCTTGGCTCTTGTCCGTTATGATCTCCAGCGTTGCACCAAACGACTTGTAGTTGTTCGCGAGCCACTCAAGCAATGGCTGACACTCCGCCAGCTCGAGCTCAAAACCGCTCTGAAATAACAATAAATATAGTTACACTTTTTCAACAGCTTTCAGAGATGGCTCAGGGAATAATGCAAGAAAAATTGTACACGGATAACTCTTATTGTTTGTCAAATCGTAAGACATTTAAGAACATAGCGGAAAAATTGGAATACTGTTTCCAAGAAATAGTGCCCGATTAAGAGTACACTTCTCTAGGCGTAAGTGATGAAATTGTATTGTTTTATAAGGCGCTGTAAATAGAAATCATTAACTCTAGACGTTAGGATCAGTAAATAATGGAAACATGAAGTGAAGTAACAGGGGAAAATGTAACATTTCTTGTGAAAAGGCGTTTCAGTTTTCATTACTTAACAGGTACCATTACAACAAACAACAATGTTGTCACAATCAAGGGGTGCACAGCAATTGGGAACTAATGAGTTTATATGAAAGAATCACAAGGGTCATTTGATGGTATACATAGTCCCCATGGATGCCAAACACAAACACAGTTGCGAGTGTGTGTTAATATTTACAAAGGTTCAATGACTTTCTCTACACAAATCATAAATTCATATGGAAGAGCAACATTGGCTATGTGGTCAGAAAGTCTAGTTCTGGATCAGTACAATAAACGGTTATGTCCCATGGTGCGAGAAGACCCTCACGGGCACTGAAGTGCCCTTACTCAATAGCCTGCCTGACTATAACAGGAGCCGTCTCGTCCTCACTGATCTACATTTATGTTATGAAAGAGGCGGTGTTCTAATCTTTTGAGGTGTGGTGTTCTGATTATTTCTAATTGTATGATATCAAATGACCTGATCAAAAACCCCATCATGGCGATGCCCTCTGATATGATCGCAAAACAGAACTTCGTGAAACTGAACGCTGTTCTCATATCCGATGGGGATACATAGTGCTCCAGACCGAAATGTATGCAAACATGGACTGTGTGCATTTCAACTTCTAAGGTCGAGTTGCCTATTTAAATTTACCTTATATTATATACCGAAATTACCTCCAAGTTTACCTTGAAGTGTAATGTCGCCCTGAATACTCTTGGTGCCAGGCCACCCAGGGATTGGGGTAACGTCCTGGGGCTGCCTAAATATGGCTCCAGACGCCAACTCATAGCATAGCAGAAACATTTTGCCACACCTTATTATATTCACTTATTCCTGCTTAATGTCGGGGAACACTAAACAATTGGGGCAGATACGGCAAAGTATTGCTATAGCTGTCGAAACTTCTTAATATGGTGAAATAAGCGGAATGTGCCATGTTGATTTGTGGATGTGGATAGAAAGTCATCGATTTAGTTAGAATACTAAATTAGGTAATCCTGCGTAAGCCGGAAGCGGAAGTGAGATGGCACTAACATCTTTATCTGTGAAATGGGTTTTGTCCTTCCCCTGTTCCGGCGTCAGATGCAGGATGGTCTCTTCCTTCGAGTGTGATTTCAGCACGTATCTGTAATCCGAGGTTACAGTTTAAAATGCATCCATTGATATCCATAAATATCCCACTGATATTGAATCATCGTGGGTTCGATTACCACGCGGCAGTTATATTTGTGTGTCCCACAAATAAATAAATCTTTAGGACACATTTTTACGCAATGTCACAAACTGAGCAACGCTTGAACTATGGGTACTAGATCACTGATAAAGATACTTAAACACATATAACAGCCAGACACTAGAAAAACGCTGTGTTCATCACACAACATTTTTCCAGTAGTGGGGATCGAACCCACACCCTAAGGCGCAGGAGGCCGGACACTACCCACTACGCCGTTCGGGTCGTCAAAGCGGTCAGTTCACCTGATGTCGACATTTGCAACACCAGAGCGGCCGTAGGTACTTGCTAACTTACATGAAAGTGGGTCATCTCAATCACCACGCCGCTCTCCTGCGAGGCCGTGACCCTTCCCCAGATGAACTTGCTTACGCGTGCAACAGCAATAGCTGTTGGTGGCCCGACCGCAGAATGCACATTTTCTGTATCTTTACTTACGGATTGAAGTAGTTAGTATTACAAAATGGACAATCAATTTTTCGCTGCTGCGGGAATCGAAACAGCGCCCTTCAGATTCGCGCCCAGAATTTCAACCACCAAGCTGTACGGCTGATTGCCACACCGACGGGAATCTCAACGTATTTCGTCCACATTCTCCGTCTACGATTCTGTGGCGCAGTTGCCACAGTACTGGCTTGGGCACCGAGGGCCGAGGTTTCGATTCTCACACGGTACAACTATTTGTGTGAACCACAGATAATTGTTCCGCATCTGGACGAGACATGTCCGCGAGAAATTGATATTTGTGAAACATCCTGTAAGGACACAGGCCAATGTTATTCAAAAGTAAGAGCAATGTTTATAGTATTATTAATGTTATCGCTTACCTCTGAATGTCGAGGTTCTCCCAGCAGATAAGGGTCTCAACGGCGCCGAGTTCCAGGGCGCGCAAGGTATCGTCCACGCCGAAACAGAATTTACCGGTGTCCTAGATGGGAAAGTCTATCAATGACATTCAATATACAGTCAACTGACAAGAACTAAATTTTTAAATGGTATGTGCATTGCCACCCTTTAAAAGAGTAGCCCCGTGATTGTAGCCTCGCTCAACAGAAGAAACGAAAAAGCAACGGCAAAAAACGCTGCAACATTGACTGAAGTTGCCAACATTTTCATGTTGGGAACTTCAGTCAGATAACATTTATTATAGTTTTTTAGTTATTATTTCGAAATTATGCAGGTTTCCTCAAGATGCTTTCCTTCACGGCGGAGCACGTGATAAGTCAGCACTTAAAGTTAAAAATATCATTGGTGGCGGCACCGGGGATAACTCAGGTTGCTCGAAAATATTGAATTAAAGGCGAGCGCCCGGACACTGAGCTATCACGGCTCAGTAAAGACTGTAAACTACCCAGAAACTTGTGTAAACTGCAATAGATGCGACAACAGTACCTGTGCGATCTCCTCGAAGTAGCGGCCAATTAGCTTCTTCTCTTGTATGAACTTGACGTTCTGCAATGGTTCGGATGCAAGCTCTATGGCCTGATTAAAGCCATTGTCCCCACCGTAGGATACGTCCACCAGCTTGATGATTTTCGATTGGAGGCGCTGAAATAATGAATTAATTATTACAATATCAAAAAAAGAAATCGGCCAAATTATAAAACATTTTTTCTCTCTTTGTGTGATTCTCATTCTAAACGTCGAGTTGAGTCTCCAGCCAGACAAGTTAATTCTTAGTCCATGTGAGCTGAGCGGAGGCATGTCTGCGGACATATCTAATGTATATGCAAAACATGAATGGTACACAACAGTTTACCCTCATCGACTATTGTGTTGGTTAAATGAATAAATGGACAAAGAACAGTACTAACGGGGTCAAACATGTCGGATTGAGACAGCTCAGTCTTGAAATCTGCTGATCCGGCAAGGATTATGCCAGCCACATTTGGTTTATCGGAACTGATAAACAGTTGCGTGGCCACCTCGGCCACTTTTCGTACGTAGTTATGGCGCTTCTCCATTCTAAGGCGGGCGAAACGAAGTGCTGACTGCCCACCCCTGCCATGCTTCTTTGGTAAATCAACACTGAATTTGTGAAGGACCTGCAATACATACCAAACATGAATATTCTTTCATTTATTCAAAAAGATACACAATGAAATCATTGTACAATTGTATTAAGAGTTAATCAGATACTCTACTTTTAAAAAAATTATTCATAAAACTATGTATCTAAGCAATAAAATTATGATTTATTAAAACTACTATATTCAATGCACATAAACCTACGTAATATGCATCATATTGTCAATTATATTTTTTTTAATTTTTAGTTATATGCCTAAAACCCGACGAAAATATTAATGCATGTACCTTCCTTGCTTTCATTGCATTTTAAGAAATGTTTGTTGTAATGAATGTCGAAATGCGAATTACGAATCCTTGTAGCGAAAAACATTCAATCCATTATTTTATACATTTCAAATTTCAAAACTTCCTGGTAATTTCATGATGACTCCGTGGCGCAGTTGCCGAGGTATCGGCTTTGGCGTCGGGGGTCGTGGGTTCGATTCCCACACGGGACAAATTTTTGTGTGACCCACAGATAGTTGTTTCGCATCTGGGTGTTGTCCGCGTGAAATTTATGTTTGTAAAACGTCCTTACAATAGTTTTAACAAACTATTACAAAAAAAATGCAAAGAATAGCATTACAGAAATTAATATCATTTAAAGTTTTCGTTTGTCTTTAAACTGATGTTGACCTCACCTCTTTAGCGTTTCCTTGCAGGGTGCCAAACAGGGCTCCGTTACCATCCATCACGATGAAAGCGAACTTGTTGTCATCGGCCAAAAGAGCTGTGAGGGCCTCTGTGTGGAACTTGTTATCGCACAAATACAGTGAGGTGTTGATTGGCTTGAAGGGCTCAAAATCAATGTTCACCTTCTTCTCTTTGCCCTCATCGGTGACGATGGTGCCGCAGTAAATCACCAAGCCATTCGGCGGAACTATAGTAGAAGTAGAATATGTATTGAGATAAAGTCGTTTATTTTTCCATTACTCATCTCATATTTCATTATTTAAATTTGTTCTTGGCCATTCTGCCAGAGTGATGTCATTAAAAAATCATTCTTTGAAATGATTTTCCAAAACAGTCTTACTAGGACAACTAATATGTAGACTATACAAATACATCTACATTATAGGAATTAAACCCTATTAACCTCAAATTTCATGTACAATGATTAAGGGAAATAGCAGAGACTTTATGATTTAATAACAGCAGAGTTCACATCTGTAGCATGTAAAATTTAATTAATAAAATCAGACCATAGGTTTTCTTAAAGAAAAAATCACATGGCCGAATAAACAACTGTAGGGACTAACCTTTAGTGTAGAGTTTAAGCCGGTGCTGTACTGAGGTGATTGCCCCAAGTACAGACAAACGATTAACACGTGACTTGATATTCGAGGCCGTACCAAACTCATCTGCCAGCATCTTGGATACCCGCGATACCTGATCCTTGGGCGGTATGATCAGGGATATCATTGATGTTCCATTGCTGCAAATTAAAATTAAGATAGTGTGGGAAAGCACTTAAAGATCAGTAAACAATGCGTATCAAATAAACCAGAATTTTTTGTTACAGTTATTTAGTTTAACTTGACATGATACTGGCACATTATGTGTGATGAAAGTCATATGACTAGAAGAGATATGAATCTGGTTGGAGTATGCAAAGCTAAAGGAAGACTGAGAAATTGAAGAAAGGGGTCAGTGTTGAGATGATGGCTAATAGAGGAAAGTGGAAGGAAAGAACATGTTGCACCGACCCCACCTAGAGTGGAATAAGGGCAGGAGAAAGAAAGGAAATTATTTAGTATATAGGTATAGTGTGATTAATTTATAGATTTCTCAAAATTTCTTATGACTAAAATGAATTTCTCCTACAAGAATTATAAAATTCTCAATGGCTAGTTTCGGAACAAGAGGGTCGAGTTCTAATTGAGAATTTTATTACTAATGTGCCAGGTGTAAAAGGTTCTGCAAAACTTGCTAAAACAGAGATTAAAACTTAGTCTCTTTTTACAGACATTTATTTTTTATTTTATTCATAAACTTTTGTCTTACAAATGCCTTCGGTTTGAATCTTATAAATGATTTCTTTGGAATAGACTGTGCATCTTTCAAAGGAAACAATAAAGAGGATTGATGGTCATAAAGGGAAACCATCAGAGCCATCACTAGTTTCCAAAATAATGGCTGGTAAATATGTTAAATATGCTGACAGTAAAACAAATAAACATTTTGAAATGCCTAAATGTGAAACATGTACAGAACACACGATTTTAAGTGCGAATATTGTGCTGATTAGTAATAATAATAATAATAATAATCATTTATTCGCATAAACATGGTACATATCTTAGTAATGTCTAAATTTATTATAATAGCTCACATGTTTACTGGGTGCGGCATGCAAAAATCATTGTTTAAATAAACAACATGAGTAGATGTTAAGATTACAGAAAGAAACTTATTGCATAAATTAAAATGTTATTTTGCTATCATTCTATTAAGTACGCATTTTGAAAATTGAACATAATAACAAAATATAAAGAACATTTTTGGCGTAACATTTTAAGTGAAAGAATTATTGCGTTTGCGGGGTTAGTCAGCAAGGTTGCGCATAGGGCCTGCTAGCCCCGGGACGTGGCAGCATGCATTGCACCATCAAACAGTACCTGGGATCTATCATCACCACCAGTTAGTTTTACATCGGCAGGAATACGCCGCTTGCGATGGACAACGGACATGAACAAGAACGCAATGAGGGGGGGTATCTTAGGGTGAAAGGGAGTGAAACTGGAGGGTTTGCATATCGGGCAAGGATGCATCGCTTTTTTGCAGAGCTGGACCCATCTATAACCGTCACTGAGCAAAATTTGGCCGAGCGCGCATCATGCGCTCAAAAAAATTTTATTTTTCGTGAGGCTGCTCCCTCATCAGATGAAAATGCATTGGCTGGAAATGCGAACCCGGAAGCTGCAGATCCCCCAGGGTTACAAGCAGATTCAGAGGCCGCGTTCAACCCCACGGCTCCTGTAGATTCTTGCGATGATAAAATAGTTCCCAAGAAATAGGGCACATGAGAAGCATATTGGAGGAGGCAATTCTGGAAGTGCGCGAAACGCCTCTCGAGAATCGACTAGGCTTCCCTCTCATACCCCTTAGTAAGCGGAGTCTATCGTAAGGTCTCTCAACCCTTTTATACCTTTGGCATACTCAGGTGGACTCAAACTGCACAATCGCGAGGTGTGCAGCCTCCGCAACTACTTTTTAGCGAGATCGGATGAGTCGATCTACATTGACTAATGACGTCAATGTAGATTGTGTTGTGATAAAGCGACTTACCCCTTTATACTTCGTATTTACTGTTAGCCAACAAGCAATGGTAGGACCCGGGAGTACTGAGCGTTTCCGACCGGGAGACCGTATGGAAGGAGAAAGAGCTCCACGGGAGGTTTCATAATGCTCTACACGAGCATTTCGTATTTACTGTTAAATACTGTTAAGCCTCCCTTAGCTCGCTACATTTCGGCGATTTGTTTGGGGAAACCGAAGGTATTGTCTGTGCGATACAGGATCAGGTTATTAAGATGTACAACTATTGGAAATACATCCTATGGTATGGCAGAGTCAACATCTGTCGAGCTTGTCGCCATCCCGGGGATTCACTCGGCATGTTATCTTCGGTTGTTCCATGCTTTCTAACTCTGAGTATCTGCATAGACTACCTAGTCAGCCAAAATCCTACACCAGGCGCTCACTCTGTTATACGGTCTCGTATATAGTGTTATAATTATTGCACATATTTAATCTAATAAATAATTTATCAATAATTTATTAGGACAGTTGGTTTGCGACTTATTTAAAAGTTGTTGGTTTGATACCTATTGCGTCTTGATATTTCCTACACCTTAGAATGGGGGGTAGTTGGTATTGGTTTTTGAGGGGTATAAATTCAAATCTCACAACGTACGCGTGGTTAGTTTTTGGCTATTGGTAGTTAAGGGCTGTTGCTCTGTTGGAAAAACTAAGTGCTATTGTTATCCAATTATTGAGTCATCATTGAGCTATAGTTTATAAGTCGGTAACAGCGGTATTTTATAATTTGTCTCAAATAAACTCTGTTGGAAAGGCTAAGTATTTTTGTTACCCAATTATTGAGTCATTGAGTTATAGTTATACAAATCGATAAAACCTATGTTTTATAAAATGTCTCTAATAATAGGAAACTGCCATACTACAAGTACTATCTGGAAGCCGTTCTCGAAAAAGACCGCGCCAGGCTCTACTGGGACAGGCCCATCATCACGAACAGGACGATTCCCACGAACAAACCTGATATCATATTGATGGACCGAGCACATTCATTTGGACATTACCATTCCATATGACTGTTGTTCCCGTTCAACCTCTTTGAACATCTGAGGTGACGGGGACTCCTGGATCGCTCCTAGCTCAAATCCAGAATAATATTATTAATATAAAATAATATTTATCTAATAGCTAGCATATTATCACATTGTCATATCATGCAGTTACTATAACATTAACTTAGCTTGTTTAATCGAGTTGAATAATTACTAATTGTGTTTGAGAATTAAGTGTTCATTGGTGTATTCATAAAACAACCAATAAAGGAAAGAAGATAATTGCGATAAATGAGAAGATGAGTGCGCATTAGTGATATAATAACATAACTGAATAACTAAACAGAACTGAAATAACATAAGTTATTTAAAATGTAAGTCACCAATCTACCAGTCAATCATTGGTTTTGACCAATGACTAGTTATAGGTACGAGTATCAACCTATCCTATTAATCTATACTCATATCAATGAGTCTGAAAAAAATATGTCCTATTTTCACAAAACTAATACTACCCAAAGACTAACCTAATCCAACTCGACAATCATATTTCAAATACCTATCTTTTCCATGAGCGAAAAGCTCTAATGTCAAATGCAATGATATATACAAATAATAGGTAGATATGGCACTAGCCCAGGGAAACATTACCTTGCAACTTTATAGACTGCTATCTCTTTCAGTATCATACATTCTATATCATCTGGCACATTTGCTTATATTAACAAATAATGTAAAGCGGAACAATTTTTAAATGCTGCACAGTTTAACCTCAGAATAAAAAATTGAATATGTTTATGGTTATTGTTAGACTATAAATATGTTTATTGTTAGACTTTCTCCAACTAACATTCTTAATATAAAGTTGCTTTAGAGCGAGTAATGAACATTTTCAGATATTTTTAATCTATAAACACTAACATTTTATCCGAACTTAAATCATGTATAACCTACCATCCGTCCTTTCATTTCGAATGGAGAGTATGACGTCGCTCGCTTCCTGTATTTATCGTGTTGGCAGTACTGCGCATTTATGTTTTTGAAGTAAAATTAATAAAATGGCAGACTTTCTTATTGAAAATAACATATTTTAATTAAAATTAAGAGTTTTCATGGTTTTTAACTTACATACTATTAACATTTATCTATCAATAAAAATATTTTCATACTTGAAAAACGACTTATTTTTTTGAAATTATTACCTTTTTTACAACCACCCAAAAATAAGACCTTAAACACAATATTGATTATCTTTAATAATAATAATAAAGCTAGTGTTCAAGCTAATCCAAGCTCAAATGCAGAAGGTGGTGCTCCTTGATACCGCCCAAATCGTCCGCTGGTTTCTCTCCCTTTCACCTTAACCCTCGGCCATTTGGTCTCCCCTGCCAGGGGCTTCCGTCTGGTTGGATCCTATTTATATATGTACTATATACAATATTTATATCTATATGTTTATTTTTATCCATAATATTTATTTTATATTTATGCAATATATATCTATATGTTTATTTTTTATTTATAACTCAACCAGACGAGAAAACAAATGAATTTTCCCTCATAATAATAATAGTAGTGTTTCTGTAATTCGCATCTGTGAATCGTTTTTGTATTGGCGCGTTGTTATTTAACTTTTAAATATTTCACGATGTTCAAAGGGAAGAATAGAAATTGAAATTTGTTTTTCATATTATGTTCTTTAAGTATCCAGTATTACTATATGTATCTTCCGTCAAAGTAAAAACGTAAGTTTAGTATCGTTTTTGGTAATGGTATTGTATTTCCGTAATGATGGAAAAAAATTCTGTGAGTCTAATCTGCACATTTACCAAAAATTGTGAAAATAAACATGAACATAGACATTTAACATATTTCTGCTAATATTTCATCATGAATATTTAGCCCTATTTAAGCGCATCTTTACATTCCAATGTCTAGCCATTACATATAAGTTTAACATGTTGACTGCAACAAAATGGCGGATTTCTTTGGTGAACAAGATTTTCTTGCAGTTGCTGATTTTTATAACATGCATAGAATCAATACATGATATGAGGCTATATTTCAATCACAACTTACCCTCTTGCCATTTCTAAACTCTTGATGAGCTTCTTGATCTTCCACATTTCGACATTGCGATTAGCCGACGTATCTTCGGACATGTTCATACACCCTAACACTTCGAATAACGGATAAATAAACGATAGTAATTAAATAGTATAATAGTTTGTTAACACAACACTAAACTGTAATAGTAAATTAATTCGAGAGAAAGGAACTCAAACTCGCGGTTCTAGCTGCGCAAATCCAGATCGATCAACGACCAGACGAGACAGGCGTAGGCCGTCCGCCGTACTGTACTCTTGTGCGAGGATTCTTGAAATTTTAGTTATTTGGTGTACCCCAAAGTATGATTGATACAAATATCAGATATTTGAAGACAAAAAGTACCTACATAGACGAACAAACGCTTCTACTTCTACTTCTAGTCTTCATCGATCGCGGGCCGTGCCGGAAAATAGAAAATTGTTGCCTATTCAAAAATATATTTTCAGTATTAACAGCTCAAAAATCTATATGTGCAGAAATAACATTTAAAAGCCTTTGAAACTTTACATGAATTAACTCTAAACTAATTCAGATTCTTCAAAAAAAAAACGTATACCAAAATTTATAATTAAAATATATAATATTTTTGAGAGTAACATAAATCATAAGCGTATGTTTTGCTATAATTATTTTAGATATATTGTTATACTGTGGAGAAAATTCAAAATCATTTATTCATCGAAATAAGAACATACATTTCATCTATCGATACTACTAGGGTGTACGGGAGTACCGTGAGGAATTAAGGGAACTCTATTACTATTAAGGTCCGATTTAAGGATTTATTAATTCAGATTAATATTTTATGAAAAGTTGTATATTGACATACACAGAAAAGAACAGACATTAACAAAAGAACAATGACACTCAAAACAACTGTATGATGTAGTAAAAATCTTCAGCCAGTGTCTTCAACATCCTCCCTTTTTGACTACATCATTGTGAGTCAAATTTCTTTGGATATCTGAAGAAGCTTTGGTCTGTGGACCACTTTTGTCAGAATGTCCGCCAATTGAAATTCTGTCGGTACATACTCTACTGTAATATCGCCATTTTCTACGAGTTCTCTTATGTAGAAATGTCGTATAGCAATATGTTTAATTCTTCTATGCATTTCAGGATTTTTAGCAATCTTTACAGCTGCATCATTATCAACTGTACCTCTTTTCAGCCAGATTATTTCTCGAGCTGCTTCGCTGGCAGCAACCAGTTCAGCTTCTGTGCTGGATATGGCAACACAAGTCTGTCTACGACTGCACCATGAAATTGCTGCTCCTGAATATAAGCATAAAATTCCAGACGTTGAACGTCCTGTGGATGCATCACCTGCATGATCTGAATCACTGTAACATTCTAGGATGCCTGTCCTGTATTCCTTTTTATAGACAATACCGTAGTCCAGTGTTCTCTTAATGTATCTCAAAATTCTCTTGACCCTTAAAACGTCTGCAGGTGTGGGCTTATCTAATGCTCTGGATACCACACTAATAGCATAAGCTAAATCTGGTCTACTTCCAACCATAAGGTAGGCCAAGGCTCCTACAGCTTCTCTATAAGGAAATGTATTTCCATCTATTGACTCTTCTTCCAAATCATTCATATCTTCTTTGACAATAGGCGTTGTAACTGTTTTACAGTCACTCATCTCAAAACGTATTAAGAGCTTTTCAGTATAGTGCTTTTGAGAAAGTTTAACACTATACTCTGTTTTTTGTGATTTCGAGACCAAGAAAGTAGGTTGCTAGTTTGATCGTTAGTTTGAAACGTCGTGTCAGCTCTTTCATAAATCTTTTTGATTCTTGTGGATTACTTGAAGCAACAAGACCATCATCAACATATAACACCAATATGATTTTAGAATTCCTGGTGTTTCTTATAAACAGAAAGTTATCATTATCACATTGCTTGAAGTTAATAGATGTTAGATAGTCAACGATGCATTTGTTCCAGCACCGTGGCGCTTGTTTTAAACCATAAAGGCTTCTCATAAGCTTGCATACGTTATTTGAACCATCATTATAACCCTCAGGTCGTTTCATGAAGATTTCTTCAGATAATTTTTTTCTTTTCGATCCATTCAGAAAAGCTGTTGACACGTCGAATTGTATTAGCGTTAGTCCTTCATTTGCAGCTATGCTCAATACTGAACGTATTGTAGCCATATTGGCAACTGGACTAAATGTCTCTTCGTAGTCAATGCCTTTCCTTTGTGTATAGCCACGAGCTACAAGCCTTGCTTTAAATTTATCAAGAGATCCATCAGCGTTTGTTTTAGTTTTGTATACCCATTTGCATGAAACTGGCTTTCTGCCTTTAGGTAGTGGCACTAAAATCCAAGTTTTCATCTCCTTAAGTGATTTCATTTCACTATTCATAGCTTGAATCCATTGGTTCTTTTCTGGACTTGCAAGGGCTTCTTTATATATCTTTGGATCTTCACCAATTGATAAAATATTTGCGGCAGACATCAAAACATAATCATCATATCGAACTGGTGGTCGTAGTTGATTCAACAGGTATCTCATCTTCATGTATATCATATTCAGAGATTTGTTCGTCATTTGAATCTTCATGCTCATTTACAGTTTGGTCAGGTAAATCATTAAATGTTTGAGGCACATCGCAAGTGGGTTTAATGTGAACTTCAGATTGAGATTCAACTTCAGATATTGGCAGATTAAATTCTGGCTCGCATTGTTTCTCACGTTCTTCCTCCCTTGCTTCATACATTTTATGATTGTCGTTGTTTGAAGATAGCTCTATTTCAATAGAAGATTCTTCAAAAACTTCAGGTTCCTCGAGACCAATAGATTTAATGACATTTTCATTGAACTGAACATCTCTAGATCTGATCAAAATATATTTTACATTTTGTTCACGTTTTAGAAGACGGTAACCATCATCTCCATCATAGCCAATCAATATACATATATATACTTTATATAATATACTTTCACAATATACTTTCAGCTTTCTTGGACATCTTTTTTCGCTTCTGTTTAGGAACATGTGCATAGCATTCTGAGCCAATTATTCTCAGATGTTTGATTGATGGCTTAAACCAGAGTTCATAGGGAGATTTATTTGGTACTGGAGTAGGTCCAGTCCTGTTGAGGATGTACGTTGCAGTTGATATTAATTCAGCCCAGGTGGCAACGGGTAATTGTTGAGCTTGCATCATACTTCTGGCGGCCTCGACTAATGTCCGGTTTTCACGCTCACTGCTTCCATTTTGTTGCGGCGTATACGGCATTGTAAGTCTTTGAGATGTACCTTCCTGTCGAAGTATTTTTTCTCACTTTCTCATTGTCAAATTCTCCTCCATTGTCCGAGATGATCTCTTTAACTGAAAATCCGGCCACTTTATATTCTTGTAGTACTTGCTGTAGTTTCAAATGTACTTCAGACTTATGTTTGATACAAAATACATGACGATATTTGGTAAAATAATCTTTGAATAGTACGAAGTACTTATTTTTGTTGAAGGATTCCGGAAAAGGTCCACAAACGTCAGTATGAATGACCTCTCCTGGTGTCTTAGCTCGTTCTCTAGTCCCAAATTTTCGTCTGTGCATTTTTCCATAAATACGGCCAGTGCATAATTCAGAATCCAGATTAACTTTGAGTCCAAGCTCGTGTTCTTAATAACCTTCTTAACATGCCTTTTACTTTGGTGGGCAAACCTTTCATGATAAAGTTGCAGGACGTTATCAGTTGCTTCAACAGTGTTTAAGTTAGGAGCGATGTTTGTTAAACATTGAATATTTAACTTGTACAGCCTTTCGTTTTTCACTCGTTTTCCTACTAATTTAACTTTGCCGTTCACTTTAAAATAACAAACTTCTCTCTTTGATATGAATTTGCTTTTGTCTAACATGTCTTGTGCAGCGAGAACTGAGAAGAGATTTCTTTTAATTTCAGGAACATACCAGACATCATGTAGTCTAATGTTTAACTTTTTACCGTTTACAATGGAAATTATATCAACCGCTCCTTTTCCAATAGCTTTAATCGTACCACTTGCTGTTATCACTGTGTTATCTTGTTTGAAGTATTCAAAAGTGAAAAAACTGTCGTTGCGAAATGTGACGTGATGAGTGGCACCATTGTCGACATACCAATTATTTGGATCTTCAACTACAGTATTCATAGCTTGGCTTGTAGTGATTTGCATTGCCAAAAGATTCGTTTGGTTGGTGTTTTGGGAGACTGTTGGCTTGGGATGTCTTCCCGCAGAAATCCATTTTGAGCAGTTCTTTATTTTATGTCCAATTTGTTTACAATATGGGCATTTCAGCTTCTTTCCTTTCCGTTTGACATCATCTCTATTGCTTGAAGTCACTAAAGCTTCAGCAGCAGTGTCTTCATTTTTGCAAAGTAATGCTTTTTCATGTGCGCACAGTTGAGACGTAAGACTTTCTACAGTACGATTCTTCTTCGACAGTAAAATCCAACTCGACTTGAATGAGAAATAGGCTTCCGGTAATGTGTCAAGTATTTTGCATATTAACAATATATCCGGAAGGTCAGACTTCTCATCTTTAACTAGTTTAGTCTTCAATTCAAACCAGAGGTTCTTGATCTTAGACAGATGGGTAGTCATGTCGTGTTCAGGATTCTTTTTGTAACTGAAGAATTGCATACATAAATCATACGATCGGTCTTCGAAAGTTCCATCATAGAGGCGGTGAAGCTCGTCCCATACTTCTTGAGCAGTACGAAATCTCATAATTTTCTGTACATTTTCATCAGACATATTTGCTGTGAGTACCAGCTGCGCTGCGCAGTCAATTTCATGATACTTCTTAAGAGCTTTTTGATAAGCAGCCCTTGCTTCCTCTGACGCAGCATCATTGTCAGATAGCACTGGCTTCTTTAAGGTACCATTTATTGCTCGTTCCAAATCATTTGCCGAACCTCGAAGCAGTAGGGTTACCTTATGTTTCCAGGTTGGCCAGTTTGCAGCACATTCCAACTTTCCAATATTAATTTCAAATTTGTTCATGGTAATGCTAACGCTCTGCTACCATATTAAGGTCCGATTTAAGGATTTATTAATTCAAATTAATATTTTATGAAAAGTTGTATATTGACATACACAGAAAAGAACAAACATTAACAAAAGAACAATGACACTCAAAACAACTCTATGATGTAGTAAAAATCTTCAGCCAGTGTCTTCAACAATTACTAAATTTACTAATTTTAAATTTACAATAAAATAAGCATTTACATTCAAAATACGCAATGCGAAATTAAGTTTTGACAAACAACATGGCACTTCTTGTATTGCAAGAAAGAGAAACCGCATTGAGGGAGAGTGATAGCAATGTTCGCCATTATTTGCCGCGTAAAGACCATAGAAAAATTTTTTGTTCCTACTCATACTTTCGCCAGACTGCGAATACCGACGAGTTAGGGATGAGGCGTATATACTGGCACAGGTATAAATACCCAGTATGAACATACCAGTACGCACACCGCGTATGTACGGCAGAGACCCGTTCCATACCCGATAGGTATGGCCGCCTCGTCCGACGGTCGCGGTATATACGCTCGCGACAACCCGCCGGCCGAATAGGTACGAAGTTCCCCGAACGCTTACGGCGGCTCTTCCCGATCATGCCCGAATTGAAACGTATGATTTAGGCATTTTATACTAAATAATTCCTTGAGATAAATTTATTCTTTGTTTCTATGACCATAAGTTAAATAAATAATTGCGTAATAAGGTTACAGTAAACAGTAAAATTTATTTTGAATTACTTTTTTTTTGATAATAGGGTTATTTACGTTAGTAAAGATGGAGCTTATTTTAGACTGATTAAATCTCAATTAAAAAAAAACTGATTGCTAAAAAAACATTTAAATGTTCCAATTCCAAAACCAAAGGTTCAAATCATTTGATTCGACCGCGTCTCCAAAAGAAGGCCTGAACATAACTAATACCTATAGGTATTTTGATACTGGGTTTTAGCACCGGGTATACGGCGATACCCGTACCTTTGAGGCCGGGTATAGAATGTTGCAGGTATATCTCATGCCTACGACGAGTAGACAGATCTCACTCACAGAACTGTCAAATGTCAAAAAAATCCATTTGTCATTCGTGCGAACTATATTACATGCTGCATTATTAAATTATTATTTTATTTTTAATCAATCTGTATTATACAAAGACTATTGATCTTATTTTTTATTCAAATACTAATCATTACGTGCTTACTCACTTCTCTAAAACGTAAAATCATGTACAAAACTCAGAAAAAGTTGAATACAATCAAGTAGGTAGTGTGAAAAATGGAACGTAACAAGAAAAGTATTGTTAGCGGCCTGACGCCTTAGCCATTAAGCTAAACGGCTGATTGCAACACCGATGAAAATCTTAAGGTCTTTTATCTACATTGTTATTTAGCATTGAAGCAATACTTGGCGCATCTATTGTTATATCCTTTCTAGGATTTGATAGAACAGATTGTAACTATTTAATTTTCATTCTTTTCGTTACCATTCATGCCGTGAATTAAGAACTAGCTTTTCGCCCACGGCTTTCCTCGAACTAAAATATACGTATATTTTGAAGTTTTTTCAATTAAAAAATAGCCTATGTCCTTTCTCAGGTTCTAGACTATCTATGTATCAAAATTCATTTAAATCGGTTCGGTAGTTTTGGCGTGAAAGCGAGACAGACAGATAGAGTTACTTTCGCGTTTGTAATATTAGTATGGATTTTTATAATCGAATTTAAAATAAATCGTAACTATACACAAGGATATTGCGATGAATGGGAGCAAGATCCCTCATTTAAAAGTTGGTTATGTAAATCTAAGGTAAACACAACGAGTGCTCTTTGTAAAGCATGCAATTGTGAAGTACTAAGAAGAGTGACGTCGTTGAAGGAACACATGGCTACATTAAAGCATATAAAAAAGTATGAAAGGATATTCCGGCATTCCTCAGGTATGCTAGTTTATAATGTTTCCGTGTGTAATTCATTGTCAACTGCCAGTTCGACGTCTGAAACGTTTATGGTGGATAAATTTTGGAGTAAAGTCAGGCAAATCTGTGATGCTATTAATAGCTAACCAAAGTATGCCAATTTGTCTCGATTTTTGAAGCAGATGACCATAATACCTCCTTTGTCAAACGCCAAAGTAGAAAGAATATTTTCGAATTTAAAAGGATTAAAAATCAAGATGGAAATCGATTTAATTATAAGAATATTGCTGCAATAATGCATGAAAAAGAAGAGTTACGAGGGGTTAATTGGAAGGAGGATGTAGCAGATTTGATTCTGACAGAAGTTTGATTAATTTAATGGTCTCAAAACAGCTTTATGACAATGTTACTTATCATAAAGACGAAGAATCTTAACTTAGTATAATATTATTTATTTTATTTTTTAAATTATATGTTTATACATAATATCTTTAACTTTAAAAAAAATGGTTTATTTAATTATGGTGGTTTATTTATTATTTTTATTACTTTACCGTTTAATCAAGAAAAAAAGTTATGTTTTTACATTTTAACACGACAGAAAAAAATTAATAGATTTTTAGTATTTTCTCGTTCTCTTTTCTAAGAATTCAGTAACTTTTAACCTCGATCAGCAGTTAATTCGTCAAATGAAATCTGGTCACTCGCCGTGTACCTCAAGTTTTTTAGTTACAGACAGAGCCATAAAGTAATACTAATGAAATAGAGAGCCATCTCGTATATTATTTTGG